CCATTTTTTTGACACTTTTTTTAGTAATTGAACTTGTGATCTCTTTTTTGCACTTAAAAGGGGACTATTTCAAAAAAAACGGCCCCACCATGCACTGCATCTTGAGATGCTCTTTCCAACAAAAAAAAATATTAATATATTGAACGAACCAGGACCGAAAATTTTGGGATGCCAAATGAGTCACTTCTTACCCTTGTTTGGTTCATATCTCCCTAAAACCTGAAGATTTCGGGCCGAAAATTTTATGGTAGTCTTCCCTCTCCAGCCCCAACATATCCTGAAAGTTTCATGCAATTTGGATGTTTCTGGGCTGAGATAGATTTTTGAGGGGGCCTTAATAACATATCTGTATACGTATAACCATGCAGACGAAGGGAAAATCCTTATGATCGCATCTAAGCAAGATGTAGGTCACAACAGGCTCACATGCTAAAATCTCCTTAAAGCGGATTCTAGTTGAGGTAAGAAGGTTCAATGGCATCCGCTCTTTCAAACTTTCGCTAATCTCACTAAAATCTATTCATTAGTAAAAAATTTGCCTCAATCAACATTCGTCAGTTGGTAACATTTCCACGTTAGTCTTCTCTGCATAAAACAAATAGAGTATTTCATTGTGTCTAAAGAATTGACCTTTTTCTCTGTGCGATTCTCGATTGTTTCTTTTTAATAAAACAAAAACCAATGGTATTTTCTCGTGGTAATTTGAATAAAAGGACCTTACAACTGAAGAGCAGTAGACGTAATGAATCAAATTATCAAAAGAATTGGTATTGGCTCTGATAAATTTGATAATGCATATGCTGATACAAAATACTTAGTAATATGGGAGTTTTGTTAACTTGAAGTATTTCATAAGCAATTCTTGCCAGTTATAAATTAAAATCAATGAATATCATAAAATGTAGGCTACTGACTTTGGCGAATAGTGAAATGCTTGTTATTTGAACGATTGCATTTAAATTTCATATAAGTTTCTTAGTCTACTGCATCTCTTTTTTCTAGATAACATTCACAGTGCATATTTTTATTTGGTTTTATGAGACGTCGGTTCATAGAAAATTCGACAAAGTGAGCAAGTGTCTATTTAATAGGTTATTGAATATTATGCATTGATAACATACCTTTTAATTCAACATTATGTGATTTGGATGTACAAACGAGTCGATTAATACCAGTTATAGCTTGAGGTTCAATCATTTTTGTATTTTGTAAATCTTTGAGTTTTTTTCCAAATTTCATAACTAAAATAATCAGTAAAAACGTTCAATTATTTTTATTATAATAATTTACTTTTTTGTTTTTTTTCACGTGTCACATAAGTCATTGTTAATGAAGGAGATATTTTATCATCTGAATTCATTATTAATTGTCTTGTAATTGTTAATACACGTATATTAGATTTCAATGATGATTTTATTGTTCTTATTCCATCTTTTTTTTCTTTTTGATTATCAATTATAGTCCAATAATCAACTGATACATCAACTGGTGATGTCGATGGTTCATCTGTATGAGAATTTTTTATTAATTGATTTGCTATTTTAGATTGTGGAGAACTTGATAATATTGTTTGACTATTTTCATCATCAGATGAATCTTTTAATTCGCGTGATTGTTGATTTGTTGATATAGATAAAGATAATGATGCAGACAAAAGAGCATTATCATCAATAGATGATAATTGACTTTCATTCGATGATAATGTTCCAAGACAAACATACTAAAGTAATTTTTTTTTAAGCTTAAGAACGAAAATTAATAAATAATACATACACAAAAGAATGGTAAAAATGTTGGTGATGAATCTTCTTCTGGTCTAGAAAAATTTCAATTTAATAAGGAAAAAAGATAAGATACTTGTTTTTATGAATTTTCAAAAGATTGCTTGAGTTTTCACTAATAAGAGAGCATTTCGAACTATTCAATCGCTTTTCGCTTGAGACTATTGTCATTCGATCAGATATGATGAATAGTAAAAGAAAGTATGTTTTGGTTTGATTTGTCGATCTTCGCTTGTCCAGTTATGAACATTTTATTCGACTTTTTGCCGTATGAGTTTAGAATAGCTGAGAACCTGGTTGACTGATTTTCGAACTGAAATTATGTCCACAGTTAAGACTTATAGTCAGTAAAAATATCTCAAAGTTTAAAACTAGAACGAATATATTCTTGTTAAAATATTTACATTATAAAGAAACGGCTGCTTTGAGCTGTGTCCCCGAAAAAGAGATCATGTTTCGATGAGAAATTGATATATCCATATGTATATGCTTGTCTTAACTCAAATTTTGGAGTGTTTCTCATGAAAATTTAAGCGTATCTATATACAAATGTTCAGTTTGGAATTCAATCGTTCAGATTCTCAATGATCCAATGCTCATAGGAAACAAAAGCAAGTAAACGTCCAAAATCCGACAAACGAAAACCAGAAAACAAAATTAAAATAGACTATTTTTAGTACTCACCAAGACTTCTCGCATGGTAATAGTTTCAAGTGAAAAGTGATTAAACAGTGGGGAACTTTCCTTGATAAAATATAAAAGGAGATGTAAATAAATAAATGACATTCACCAAGAGTACGATTCTTAAGATTATTACAAGCAGTTTGATATTTTCTCCTGAATAGAATAGTATAGCACTCAATTATATACTTCTACTGCATGAATTCACTCTTATGTCTCCATTAGCAAAAATTTAAACAAGGTTTTACAAATTCATAAATGGCATTTTATGAAAGAAATACAACATACAATTTTCCTTTTCGATTTAACATAACTTCACCAACAGGTAATGAAAGTGTACGTTGAGAAGTTTTTAAATATCGTGTAATCTTTTGTGATAAATCTCGTATATCTAAATTAAAAGAAACAAAGAAAATTCTTTTTCTATATTAATTATTTCTAATACCTGATATTTCATTTGAAGATTCATTATTACCAAAGAGTGTTTCATATTGAGAATCCAAACTACCAAGAAATTTAGCCAAATATGAGAAAACTAAAAAAATAAAAATAATTCTTTGAGCATTAATTACTCATATTTGAAACTCATATTGATTTTTCTGTTGCGAAGTTTTGAAAGAAACGATTATAGATTTTTTAGGATTATTCGTATTTGGAATCGAAAAAAACTTTTAAATTCTCAGGAATGTTCACTTGTTTTCAATGTTTTTCTTATCATGTATAAAATGATATGCGAAAATAAAGTCAATCATTCTAATAAAATTTATTGCGGTAATTATTAGAACTAAGAGGCCTGCTGTATTGGAATAGTTCCTCTTTTAATCACTCTCTTTTGTTTGTATATATATATGTATATATATTTAGAGTACGAATAATGTTGCCTCGTTTTGTTCAGTTTTATTTTTCTTCTAATATGTTTTTAAACTAACGGACGACAGATGCAAAAGTTTCTAGAAAAATATGACTGCAGTTCTGATTGGCTAAACTATACTTTGAAAAAATCATGCACAGTCATGAAGAATATACGTTGAAAGCTCTATCTTGTCTTCGTTTTTGAGTATCGAGCAAATGTTCGAACGGCAGTAAAATATATTCTGTAAAAATGTTATGTAATAATTTCATTAGATTCGCCTTCTAATTCTTCAAAGACCTGACTGATAATAGTACAAGATTACTTTAATTAACATAATCAAGAAACAAAGATATGTAAAATACAGATATGAAAATAGTGAAAGATTATACAAATCATAGTGTCATTTTTATGAAAACATATGAAATGATGCCTATGCGAAATCTGTGATACTGCCGATATAAATAAATCAAAACTTTTATGTTGTTGACCTCCAGAAAAAGCGAATACGAACATCGATCTGAGAAATAGCTAGAGCTCTGCAGCTAGATTTGTCCAACATTATTTGAAAGACTGCTATAATATTTGCTCTATGATTTATGAACATGTGGCAACTGTTTAGAATTGTTTTTACATAGCTGTTCGCAAATTTGCTCAATACTCAAATACAAGAGGTAATATTTTTTTCTTGAAGATATTATTGGAAAGAGCCTTTGACGCAGATTGTAGATAGATATTTTTGTTTTTTCCAAATCGTGCTAGAGCTGACAAAAAATAAAGCAACATAAATAAAAAAATTTTGGCGCCATCCACTATCTCCGTGAACTTTTTCGATTTCCTTTGTGTATCTATCTAATCCATAGATTGTCTTGTGTTATAGGATTTTTAGATTAAAGTCATGTTTATTATATATTCATAAACATTCAGCTTGATTAATCAATATGTTAGAAGAGGATTATAATGCAGTATGTCAAATAACTAATTAAAAGGATAAATATTTCTTGAATCAAAATTGCACTGAAAATTATTTTTACTCAAAGATAAATATCTATATGATTTCTTTAAAAAATGCTTGAAAAAGTTTTCTCATTAGACACAGACTCTTATTAATATAACATTTTTTTAGCAGATTATTCTGCATTCATCACACTGTACTCTATTAACAGATTTTTGTATTGCATCTGAAACTATTCTGATACAGATTCATTAAGCACAAGAATTCTTTTTCTTTCATCAGATGAGACAATGGAAGCCCAAAGTGTAGTTTAAAACTTATACTCACTAGTATATAGTGAGTAAACATAAGCAGACTCGGTTTCTGTACAAGGCCTAGTGAAACCATGGTCAAAACTAAAGCAACGAATCTTATCTAGATCTCATTGAACATCTAACAAGGGTGGGAATTGAAACTAGCAAAGAAACTCTTCCAAGTGGTGACCTCTGTTCAAGCTTATATACATTAGATTTGCGTTCTTGAGTTATGATCGTTATTAGTGAATTTTCACTCTATTGTGAGATATGATGAGAGTTTCAGCAAAAAAATAGATGCTTTTGTGACAAGATAATAGAGTTTCAAAATCAATGCTTTTTCGCAAAGGATTCGAACAAGTCCACTTTTTTTTTTGAGTATACAATGTCTTAAGAAGAAATAAAAATTGTCAGACTAAAGTTCCATAATTCAGTTTACGTCATAAATATTCTGCAATAGACTGAAAATTTAGTACAATAATCATAACTCAAGAAGTACTAATGGTACATAATCTTTTTAGAATTTTTATCTATACCATTAACTCTAGCAATTAGCAAAATATGAACTCAAACACAGATTATTAATTGGAAGAGTTCTCTCGTAAATGATTTATAGTAGAGCAATAAGGTATCATAAACTTCTATAGCATTTCGTGCATCGCATAAACAGATGTTT